CAAATACCTATCCACTAATTATTATTAATCTTATTTTCTTATGGCTTTTGCTTCAGATTTTAAAAATGACTCAGTACAAGGTTCACACAGACACAAATGTCACAGAAATCTTTTCAATAATTAGATAAATAGCTACAAGCAGTTCTTCTTTTTTTAAAAATAGATGAACAACTAGAAATATAATGAACTAAAATAACTGTAACAGATTGTCAGGGAGTGACAAGTAGAAATAAGACAATAATTCATTTTGATGTTACTTCAATATCAAAAAACGTGTAGCCGTGACTAAAAAAAGTAAATATATTAAGGGTATTTCTTCTAAAACTTCACAAATGACTTTATTATACATTTAAATTGATTATGGAGAAAAAAAGAAGAGTAAGTACCACTATTCCCCTTAAATAGAATGAACCCGTTACCCTTCATGTTATTGCCTTATCTTTATAAAACTATAGATTTGAAACATTCTGGGAATGAGGACAGGGGGCAGAAGTTTGTTCAGAATGAAAACTAAAGAAGACTACAGTAGGGTCAGTGTCACAGCTGGAGTGAGTTAATGCACCTTGTCCTCTTGCTCTCTTGAGTCTAGCACAAAAATAAATTAATGGATACTTAGATTATGATTAAAATTCCTTTCTTTCTATTTGTGAGGTAACCTTCTACTTGTATCAACTATCAATCTCCATGATTTAGAATGAAAGAAAAGGAATCATAATGTAGACTGTTACAAAATATTTCAAGTTCTTTTGAAAATTTTAACCTTAAAAATATTTGTTTTTAATGTCAGTGAATATCCAGAAAGAATAAGCGGATTATTTACTCTTTAGCAGGGGAAAACTGACTGTGGCTTAAAAAAAAATGTCACAAATAATTTCAGAAAGTGAAAAGATCACTTACCAAAGTAGACTGCTTAGGGTATTTCAAAAGCATTTTATTTTAAAGATGCAATCTACAAATAACAATTTTTTCTAATAACTCCCTCAAGTTCTGTTTCAATATATTTTAAGAATTTATTCTAACACATAACTCCTTCTAATCCATTGTTCTTCAAGTGTCCAAGTTATATTAGAAAATCATGAAATCTGAATTTACTTTAAACAGTTTCAGATTCTCTTTAAAGATACATGCCAAGATGTTTGCCTACATTTAAAATAAAGTTGTTTTGTCATTGTTCTACTCATCACTTTTAAAATAATTTCAAAATACTACATTGTATTCAAATTAAATTCAGCTACTAGTCTCAAAAAAAAACGAAGCAATGAGTAAATAATAAGAAGTTAATAGAAAAACAACTCTAGAAAGTTTTACAGTCACACAAAAGTGTGAATTATAAAGGGAAAATGATTTTTTTCATTGCTTGGACATTTTTAATAATTAGTTTCAAAGGTTGCCTAAAAATTCAACACCTCAAACTCCAGAGGTGATGTTAAACAACGGTATACTCAATCAAATATATTTATCCATGTGATATTGAAAATTTTGTTTAAAACTAGTTTTGATTTTGAACATTTGAAATACTTTCTTTAGGTGTTGAAAAAAATATATATATATATACACACACACATATGCATACACACACACACACACACACACACACACACACATGCAATAGTCCTGAAACTTAATTTATCCCAAGATATATATACCTGCATGCACTACCTTTAAAAACCATTAGCAGTAGCTGCAAATGAAAAATCAAATTAAAAATTAATGTAAATTATACAATAAAATATTTTTTGCTAATTCTGTATCAACCATTTGAATGCTACCACTCTCAATTTTCTATGTCGGTTTCTGTTGTAACTCAAAACTGTATCTTTGAAAGAAAACCTAAGAATGAGAATTTTAATGCCTTTGGAGAGCAATATGTCTTATCTCTGGGCCCTATAAATCTTTCTTAAAATTTAAGGACAGATTTTCTAGGAGTAATTTATAAATAATCCACCATGACCATAAAACAAACAGAACCCCTATAAATAAGAATGTTTCTCTTCATACGAAATCAGTCTAGAGCGAATCAAACAAATTGTGGATATCATTTATTCTCATTTTCACTTTTGAGATTAGGGAATTTTAAAATTTCTTCAAAAAATTTCTTCAGCAATGGCAGTGAAATTTTTATTTTAATTTTCTATCCTGAAAAATCAAATTAAATATTTGTTAAATTTCCATTTAAGACAAAAATGATGAAAGGCGAATCTTTTAACCTGCCAACTTGAAGTTGCATCCTAAAGTTTCTTATTCCTGTATCTCTGAATGGCATATATTTCATCATCATCAATCATGGACAAAGGGGTTGGGAAAATCAAACTCATTAGGCCTCAGGATGACAACATATAATTAGATACTCCGATTATTTGACACTTGGCTTCCAATCTTCTCTACCATATTTTGTTGTTATGAAAGATAAAATTCAGAGCATTTTAATTTCAAGTCAAGAGATTTCCCTATAAATGGAAGTGCTTTCTTCCCTCTTTTGGTATGCTTATCATTTATATGCTGTTTTTGAAAATAAGAATACTAAGAATTTGGATGATTACATAACTAGTGGAATAAAAAAGATAGCAAGACTAATTAGTATTCAAATAATTCCTCTTTCTGCTCCAAAGAGAAAATCTATTTGGTTCTTCACAACAGTACATGTTTTAGATCATCTGCTAGACAAGGTGGGGAGGTGGAGTATACGAAATGTAGTCCTCCTATTTACCGTCTATCCTCCTGCTATTCAATCCAACATTTTGTTTTGCTTTGCTGTTAACTCCAATATGTTACAATCTTCTCAAAACCATAATGTCAAATTTTAAGGACCTGCTACATAAGTACATATAATGAAACATAATTCATAGAACTGCCAACTTATGGAGGACATATCAGAAATTCATCTCATTTGTAAAATAAATAAATAAAACTTCCATTTGAGGAGAGGCAAGTAGAGTTAGAAATCAGAAGCCCTCTGCTTTAGATTAAACTCTAAGCAACATAATTAAGTAAATCCTTGGAGGAATACCAAAATAATTATACATAGTGTGTAACTATTTACAAGCAGGTATACTACAAAACGGAAAAGAAGATGCGACGTTCTGAGATGTTTGCATTAGTCTACTCTGTAAGGCCATGGCTAGTGACAGTGCTAACATAACTCATCAATTGACAGAGGAACATTAGGTATTGGGGTCCAACTGCATGACAGAAACAAAATGAGCTTTATATGAAATCCTGGAATATACATGGAGTAGAATTGAAAGCAACCTCAAAAGATAATCGGGTTCCTATCTCTTTGTAGGACTATACATACCGCTAGGTTAAACTGATAATGTGGAGTTAGAAGTCAGTAGCGTTAAAAAAAAAAAAAAAGTCCTCTGGTTTAGATTAAGAGTATACATTCTTTCTGCCCATTTTCCATTTCATGATGGACTTCCAAGAGTCCATTAGGTTCATTGCTGTTGAAAGTGTCAGGGTGTTTCCCAGGAAGAGGAAAGGGGTATGAGCGTGGTCATCCAAGAGCTGAGGCATATGAATGTGTGTTAGGATGTGCAAAGGTTTCATAAGTATATGCCAAGGTTTCCTAGTAAGTGCATATGTACATACGTGTATAGCTTATTTTCCTTAAGTCCCTAAACGAAATAAGAAAGAAAGGAAGGAAGGAAGGAAGATGGGAGGCAGGGAGGGAGGGAAGGAAGGAAAGAAGAAAGGAAGAGAGAAAGACTGTGATTACAGACCTTGCAATCCTTTGAGAAAATAGCCGAAATGTTTGACATTTTCAAACCTGGGAAACATTCTCAAACTGCAAAACTAACAAAACTGTCCCCGTGAGAGGGCAGTAGGGGGCCAAGCTATGATTTGAGTTTCCCTGGCGGACCAACCAGCACCAGGCTGGCTGTCATCCTTCACCCTGCCGCCTGGGCTGTAAGCAGAGGCGACGGAGGACTTTCTGCATTCAGAACCACATTTGCAGACGCCTCTGAGGAAGCAAGGAAACAAAGATCTACTGGGCATGGGTCACCGCTGGGGCTGACACGTGCTGTGCGAGGTGCGTGTGCTGTTTGCCAAACTGGCTTTTGATTTTGGCCTGCCACAAAAGGAGCAGAAGGTGGAGCTGTTGTGATTCTCAGTACCCACAGAGCCCCCTCTCCTGGCCGCTGTGCGCCGGCCACAGTTGGTGCCCACAGTGCACGCTTGCGGCTCTGTAGGTATCTATTTGTGTAACTGTTTGTCAAGGTAATTGTCTGTGTGACACAGAGACGCAATCGCCCGCAGGATGTTCCCTCTCACAAAACGTCTCCTTGTTCTATCCGGCGCTTAGGACTCTGTCATTGGCACCTCATCATTTTGCTTCTTCATGGTTGATTTATTTACAATTCTACAGGAGTGAGAAAAGTGCATCTATGGAGCTTTTTTCTACCAGTGACTTTACTTCTTTGAAGGAAGAAAGTGGTTGGGAGAGGAGAACCTGAAAAGAGGTAAATCCCTCTTAAAACTGTAACATGTAATGGGGGCCCAGGATCTGGACTCTGCCCAGTCTGAAATTCTGCTCTGCCACTTACACCAGCTGTGCGCCTGGGGCAAATCACTAATCTCTCAGTGACTCAATTACTCCATTATGGAATAGAAAAGCAACAGCGCCTGTCGTATTGAGTTGTGAACACTGAACTAGTGAACATGTAAAGCGCCTAAAACAGTACCTAGCACGTAATAGTTGCTATGGGACAGATAATATCTTCATCAGCTGCATCCCCTTGGAACGCACTAGGTCTTAATAGGTGCCCACATCCCGAAGCAAATGTGAGGCGGAACCCTAACCCACCCACTCCATGCAAGCAACAAACACCCAGACACCCGAGCCAGTGCAGACGCAACTTTGGGGACACCCTCCCCAGCGGTGGGCGCGCCACACCTGAAGTCGCGCTCCGACTATTACCAGGCTTAAAGGCAAAGGGAGCGCGCGCAAAAGCGCTGGTCCCTATCTCCCCTGGCTCAAGAGTGTGTTTGCATTTTCCTACCTGCCCCAGGTTTTTGCCCTTCTTACTGCCGCCGAAAGCCAGTCCTTGGTATATGCCCGCAGATCGATTGGCGGCCTGGGCAGGCGTCTCCCCGCCCAGAGAGGACTTGATAGAGTTGAGTTTGGTCCGCGAGCTGCCGAGCTGTGAGCTCTCCACCATCAGCACCGCGGCCAGTAGGAGTAGGCAGCGGGACGAATCCTTGCCCCGCATTAACGCGGCCATCTCCCGGCGAGGTGTTCCGGGGAGGCGCAAAGCCCGGAGGGATGCGAATGAAGGGGTAAGAAGGAGCCCAACACCGGACCCGTCACGTGGGGCGCAGAGGGCTCGAAGACTCTGTTCCCTCAACCCTTCCTGGTTCGGGGACCAAAGACCCAGTGAACTCAGTCTCACGCCTTAAGCCTGGAGCGAGCACCACACCCGCGTCTCCACCAGGGCAGGAAGTTTCTGCAGTAACTGCAAGCAATCAAAGGCGAGGCGCCTTCTCGCCAAGGAGGCGTGACTCAAGGTGCTAGAAGACCCAGCCCGGCGGATCGCACCGCTGGGGTTGGTCCGTGCTTTGCACCTCAGAGTTCACTCCGAAATCTCCGCGGTTCAGTCCTTCTCTTAACTGAGCAGCAGGTCTGCAACAGTTTCTTCGCCTTTGGTCTCCGCTGGGTTTCTCTTCTCTTTTGTCCTATTCTTAATGTCTCAAACTTTGCAGGTTATCAGACTGTATAACGGGGAATCAGAATCGCCTCCAGACCGGACCCTCGAGATCCGAGAGGAGCTGACGTCCCCCACGCGCGATCTCACAGTCACTCTGGGGCGCTTGCTTCTGGTTCACACAGGGTAACCACCCCTGTGAGCAGCGACACTGCGATGCCCTGGGAGCCCACTTGCGCTCCGCGCAGACTAGTACTCTGGCACTCGGGCGCTCCCTCTCTCTCCCTACCTCTTCTCCCTCCCTCTCCCTTCCCCTCTCCCTCTCTCTCCTCTCCTCTCCTCTCCCCCCGCCCTCTTTGCTTTTTATAGCTTTCCACAGTGGGCTTTTCCTCCGCCCCCAATTCAAGAGTGACAAAGAGTGAAAACGTTTCTCTCACCCCCGCCCGCTCCCCGCCCTCCTTACACCCTACTGCTGCAGCTCCTCTGGCGGCTTCCTCTACTTGTTCTCCCGCTCCTCAACCTCCCATTCCTCTTCCACAGTTGGGGGGAAAAAAAAGAATTTACCCCTAGAAGAATGTGAGGCTCCCAATTACTGACCACAGCTTCAAGGAGTAGATGGGTCTTTGGAAACAGGCGGAGGGCAAATGTGTTAAAGGAGAGGGGCAAGCTGTCCCCACGTGTCATGACCGCCACTCTCCTTCCTTACTATACTCCCACACATCCTCAGTCTCTGACTAGGCGAGGAGCGCTAGAAAAGCAGTATAGAGACTTTAAAGAAGCAAACTTATGGGCGTGAATATTGTGTTCTATGTGCGCTCAAATTTGATTTTAATCTGTCCCGCCCAAAGAGCGCATAGGGCTGGCGCCATATAGGTGCGCTAGCAGGTGCCCGAGGGATCCAGAGGGAGATTTGGGGATGGGGAAGGAGAGAACCAGAAGGGGAAAGATAATTCTCCTGCTCCAAAGAGTTTGGTCTTTTCAGTTTCCTCCTTATCCATGCCTAACCCCACCACACATAGTGTATCTGTGTATCTGAGGGACTGTGAGGAAGAGGTGCCCAGGGGATATGTTCCAAGAGATTGGACTTCGCAGCTTGAAGGGGCATCTTCACTGTTCTTGGTAACTGCCCTCTTTGCAAAGAGGAAATCCCAGGCAGGAATGGACGCGGTGGTAAGGTGGGGACTCTGGGGTTCTGACTTCCTCTGTTTTGTATCTCCTGCCCCCTGGGAAATTCTAAGGGCAGTCTTTGCGGTCCATCCTTGAGGCTCCCCAGTTGCAGTTCCCTTCTTCCAAGGTGGAAGGTAGTAAACGCAGGCGCCAGGCGCTTGGGGGCGCCAGTGGCAGCAGTGAGACCGGCGGGGGAACGCTATGAGACTAGCTGTCCTGGAAACTGCTGGTGAGCTTTGATTAGCAATTGTCAAGGTTTCCAAAGTGATGCAGGGGGTTGTTCAAAAGTGGTTGTATTTCTCCTTCGCAGAATGTCCTGGAGCAGAAAAATCGAGGGATTGAGCCACCACTTGGTGTTGGTGATGGCTAGCAAGGGAGGACAGGATTCTAACAACTTTCCCTTTAGAATTTTCCTAACTTTAACAACTGATTCTGGCAAGCACCAGCGTATTTAGGAACACGAATGTAACAAGTCACTCAGTGAAAAGGTAAGTGACTCCTTTATTTTTCACCAAACACTGCTAAAAACCTAAAGTGAGCTTTTTAGTGTTGATCTGTCCCAGACAGCTCCGATTATACATGTTTCTCTTCCTGACCTGCCACCAAACCCTGTAATCAATTGTTCATTTACAGCAAGTTGTGAGGTTTTTGTTTTGTTTTGTTTTGTTTTAAGTACACAACTAAACAGGGATTAAAACTTGTTGAAGAAAAATTCAAATTAATGAAGAGAAAGTTTGAAGATAGTTTGTCTATTTCTGTCACTTCCCTCTTTCTTTACCTCCAACCAAAATAATATTCCAGGTACACACAGGACTAACTTCTTGTAAATACTGCTAAACAAAAATTAATATCAAGTACAGCATTGACTCAAGAACTTATCAGTATAAAAAGATTTTCTCAAGACACCTATGCAACACCCTACAAGCTTCTGAAGCCAACTTTTATAAATACAGTTAAAATCAAAGTTTGCATGAAATGTAGTTGCTCAAATATTCTCCCATGTGAAACAAAACTACACATATGGAATCAATTGTTAAAACATATACAACTACACCTTAGACTAAAAAAGAGGTAATGACTAATTTTGTTCATGACCCAAATGCTTTCTGTAAAATTATTTGACAGACAGACACAAACACACGTAACCCATCTAGACAAGTAGATATGCATACACAAAATCAACTAACTGCAAATAAACCTAATCCTTTAGATTACTGTCATAATCCCATGCATTCCCCCCACCCTTGTGTGTTCCCCTGAGTTGGAAGACACAAGTTTTATATTTTATTTGGAGAAAAATTAAATTTTATGTCATTGGTAATAACATAGAGAGTAAATATATAAAAACAAGATGTATACAAGTAAAAACACCATTATCCTGGGCAGAAGGAAACTGCTGCGTGGATATTTGGTCTTTGACTGAACATTTCCTCTTCTTTCTGTTTCTCTGTGGGGTCAATCTGGTTCCAAAGAAAAGCCACAACTTTCTCAGTGGGTGTTTCATAAGCCTGGTTTCCTTCTGAATAACCAACTCCAAAGGTAAGTTAAATGCACATTTTGTCATTTTAATCTTGTTTACTACTTCTTACTATTTTTCTTCCTACCATCTCTCTCTCTGAATAAGTACTTCCTACAATGGTCTATTTAGCAGTTGTTCATGCATTCACTTCACATTTTATTAAGCGTGGGGTTCTGAGATGCAGGTGTGGGGTGGAGGCCTTAGTTCTGGCCAGGCATAAGCTCGTGGTCAAGGCCTTAACTCACTGATATTTGCCTCTAGGATCTCTCAGAACTTGTTGTTTAGATCTTTCCTCTATTCTCATCCAATACTGAATTTTGACACTGAGTTCAATCTTTTTTTGATAATTGCAGCTTTCCAAGTAGCTCAAATTCTTGATACTATGGAAATGAAAAGATTAAAGATGTTCCCAGAAGCATATTTCAGAATTTATATGTACATTTTGATAGTGTGCATAGAAACAATGCTTCTACATTGGAGATCAAACCAAAGAAATGACCCATGCATGGTCGCTTAGGTCAGTAAGAACAGAAATGTTATACTGGGGCAAACTTAGGAAGAGAAACTACTATCTGATAAGTTCTATAGGACCCCAAATCAATTTGCACACACAGAATCCTCCATGATGTGGATAGATCTATGGATAGATCTTGATAGTTAAGGATCTGGAAAATAAGGTTATGTGAGTTCCCCCTATCTGTAGCAAACCAAACTGCCTGGTCCCATAGTCTAGTAGTATTCACACTGTGGATCTTATCTCATAGGAGTTCTGTGTTTCTTCTCCTGCCTAAAGAGAACCAGTAGCGTGGTTTTGATTTGCATTTCTCTGACTGCTAGAGATGGTGAGCATTTTTTCATGTACTTGTTGATTGACTGTATGTCCTCCTCTGAGAAGTGTCTGTTCAGGTCCTTGGCCCATTTGTTGATTGGGTTGTTTGTTCTCTTATTGTCTAATTTTTTGAGCTCTTTGTATACTCTGGATATTAGGGCTCTATCTGAAGTGTGAGGAGTAAAGATTTGTTCCCAGGTTGTAGGCTCTCTATTTACCTCTCTTATTGTTGCAAATCAAAACCACCCTAAGATACCATCTCACTCCAGTTAGATTGGCAGCCATTATGAAGTCAAACAACAACAAGTGCTGGAGAGGATGTGGGGAAAAGGGTACACTTGTACATTGCTGGTGGGACTGCAAATTGGTGCAGCCAATTTGGAAAGCAGTATGGAGATTTCTTGGAAAGCTGGGAATGGAGCCACCATTTGACCCAGCTATTCCCCTTCTCGGTCTATTCCCTAAAGACCTAAAAAGAGCATGCTACAGGGACACTGCTACATCGATGTTCATAGCAGCACAATTCACAATAGCTAGACTGTGGAACCAACCTAGATGCCCTTCAATGGATGAATGGATAAAAAAAATGTGGCATTTATACACAATGGAGTATTACTCTGCATTAAAAAATGACAAAATCATAGAATTTACAGGGAAATGGATGGCATTAGAGCAGATTATGCTAAGTGAAGCTAGCCAATCCCTAAAAAACAAATGTCAAATGTCTTCTTTGATATAAGGAGAGTAGCTAAGAACAGAGTAGGGTCGAAGAGCATGAGAAGAAGATTAACATTAAACAGGGATGAGAGGTGGGAGGGAAAGGGAGAGAGAAGGGAAAATGCATGGAAATGGAAGGAGACCCTCAGAGGTATACAAAAGTACATACAAGAGGAAGTGAGGGGAAGGGGAAAAATAATACAAGGGGGACAAACGAATGTCAGTAAAGGGGGCAGAGAGAGTAGAGGGGAGGGGAGGGGAGGGGGGATAGTAGAGGATAGGAAAGACAGCAGAATACAACAGACACTAGTATGGCAATATGTAAATCAATGGATGTGTAACTGATGTGATTCTGCAATCTGTATATGGGGTAAAAATGGGAGCTCATAACCCACTTGAATCAAATTGTGAAATATGATATATCAAGAACTATGTAATGTTTTGAACAGCCAACAATAAAAAAAAAAAAAAGAAAAAAAAAAAAAGAGAACCAGTAGCCTGTGTTGCTTTCAATTACATTTTTTTTAATAGAGGCACACTATTACTGTTACCTTATAAATCTTTTGTGTTTCTTGATGGGAAAAATTTCCATATCAGATATGAAAAATTATATCTCATATTTGCTCCCTGTCTTAGTTCCTCTTA